ACTCTCAGGCTGACTGAGCACCAGAACGGGCTGCCTGGAGAGGTGGTGCCATCTCCAAGGATGGAGATGGTCAAAGTGGCCGACGTCCTGGGCAATGTGCTGTAAGTGACCCTGCTTGAGTAAGGTGGTTGGCCTAGATGATCTCTACAGCTCGCTTCCAACCTCAAACATTCTGTGATTCTGAACCTGGAAAAATAAACAAAAAATACCCCATAACTTGCACCCTGGTACCCAGAAACCTTAGTTTTGTGCAGCTTAAATCTATGAAACTGGATGTTAAATACACATGAGACCAAGTCTCCTCTGCTGTCTTGTTGCAGAGCAATAACGGGCCTACCTAGAGGTTTTAAATATTTATCAAGCTTCAGAAGTCTTCTGGAAATGGACTGAGCTGCCAGTCTGAAAGACACTAACTTCAGAATTGAAGATTTATGTTCCCCGAGGTAATTCATTCACCACACACCATCTATTATATAACAGAATGAAAAAGAATCAGTAGCGTAGAACTAGGGAGAAAAACTGGCACACAGCAAAAATGAATGGCAAAGAAGCCCCTTGTGACTGCTCCAGGAAAAAAAATACTGAATTCTTCTCCATTTGGTGGCTCAAAGTCATCTCCTCTGGTCACCAGCCTGAACCAAGGACCAATGAAATAACACTGTGCTTCAAGCGACAGCAGTGACAACAGAGGTAGCAGTTCGTCCTCAAGGACTTTAGGGGCAGATTTTGCAAGGCACTGGCAATTCAGATCTGGGAGAGCAGCAACGACATCGTTCTCCGAGCCCAAGGAGCCCTTGCCAATGGCAACTGAAGGGCAAGCAGCCTCTCCCGGTGCATCCCAAGCCGTGACACAAATCCGTCCTTCCGTGGGGCTCCTCCAGCGGCCACAGCCACCGGCCACGTGGTTGGCACCCGCTGTCCCCTCGCCGCCACCCACGGCGGCTCCGGCCCCTCGGCAAGAAGGTGCCGCCGCCGGGCGCCAAAACAGGAGGGGCCGCGGGAGCGACTCGGAGCCGAGAACAACCTGTGCAGCCACCGGCGCGAGCAGCGGGAAGGGAAGAGGGGCCCCGCTGCAGAGGACAGGCTCTAATCCAGGCCCGGCGTGCGGGCGCTAAACCCAAGTCTCATGCAGGGCCCTGGGCAACTGGAACTGCACTTTCTTCAACAGCTTCAGCAGAGTTTCTGGGGAAGAGCACAGAGCGCCCTGTGTCTCGCTACGATGACCTCTGCGGGAGGCACAACACACACAATCATTCAACACACATTTCACTAGGATTTCACCCTTAGAGTGTCTCCTCCCTCTACTAGAGACCTCAAGTAAAACAGCAAACAAGTCACACCACTGTAGATGCTGAGCGTACAGCCACCCAGAACCCTTCAAAGGTAGATCCACAAGTCAGTTTTAATGCATTTCCTTAAAATATTAGCCCACTTTTGTCATTATTGTCTGAATTCTTACTCCCACTCCAGCCCTGGGATACTTGCCCAGGTTTTTAAGCAGTTCACATCTCTTCACAAGAGTCCTACCATGCAGCAAAATGGTTGCACCATTGAGAGCACATCAGCCTACAGCAGACAACTAGAAATCTGCATCTCTCCTGAAAGTAAGGAGAAATACCTTCCACCGCTGTTTTAATTGACATTTCATACGATGCTAAAGTGTTGAGATCACTAAGAAATAACAAATGCAATGTTCCAGAGGGGACAACTCGCAAAACATAACCCCAAATCCCCAATGGGTTTGGTCCCTGCGGATAGCAGCATCTCTTGCCTTGACTATGACCACTACCATAGCTCAAAGTACTGGTAGAAAATAGAGAAGTGGGAACACACTGAGATTAGCCTTTTCTCTCCTCTGTTCTAATGCCATTTGACTCTATCCTCTTCCCATAGCTCATGGAAAGCATGCTTAATTTCAAAATAGTTGCAATAAAGTCACTTCCCTGTGTTAAGAACGAGCTTGTGCGTTCTTAACTACCACATCTATAATTCCAGCAAGACTCAACACACACATCCAACAGGGAGGCTTGTGGGGACGACAAGGACAGGTCAGACAGCAGGAAGGCAAGGGACATCAGGCTTTTCAACTCCACTGCTGGTCTCAAACACCCTCCCATGGACACTGAAGCAGAAGCGATGTGGAAGCCACCCAAAAAGCCTCTCGACAGGCTCAGGAGAGTACGGAAGAGCTCCAAGACACAGTGGCCTGTCCAGATACCATGCCACCACCCATGGTTCCTCATGTCAGAGCATTCACCACCTCAGGAAAGGACTCAAAACAAAGCAGCACCCCCACAGCTGCTCAGCTGCTGCTAAATGGCACCATGTCCATGGAGAATCCCTGGCTGCAGCGCACTTACTATTCAGCAGCTCCACGGAGAGGGATTGGGGAGTCCTGGTTGACACCAAGTTGCCCATGAGGCAGCAACGTGCCCTCGTGGCCAAGAAGGCCAATGGGCTCCTGGCTGCAGCAGGAGCGTTGCCAGCGGGTGAGGGAGGGGATCCTGCCCCTCTGCTCAGCTCTGGGGAGGCACCTGGAGCATTGGGGACAGTTCTGGGCTCCCCAGGACAAGAGGGATGTGGAGCTGCTAGAGGGAGTCCAGCGTAGAGCCACGAAGATCATTAAGGGACTGGAGCATCTATCGTATGAGGAAAGACTGAGCGAGCGGGGCCTGTTTAGCCTGGAGAAGAGAAGGCTGAGAGGGGACCTGAGCACTGTGTACAAATACCTGAGGGGAGAATGTAGGGAGGATGGGGCCAAACTCTTCTCGGTGGTGGCCAGTGACAGAACAAGGGGTACTGGGCACATACTGAAACCCAGACAGTTCCACCTCCATGTAGGGAGGAACTTCTTTGCTGTGAGGGTGCCAGAGCCCTGGCACAGGCTGCCCATAGAGGCCGTGGAGGCTCCTTCTCTGGAGATCTCCAAACCCGCCCGGATGCCGCCCTGTGCCCCGTGCTCTGGGTGTCCCTGCTGGAGCAGGGGCTGGACTAGAGGATCTCTAGAGGTCCCTGCCAACCTCAACCCTTCTGTGATTCTGTGTACACAAACCTCTAGCTGGAGCCATGTCATGGAGCAGAAGGCTGATCTGTTGAGACAAAACCTGGTGTTTACTGTGCTTGGGAAGGGTCTGGCACAGTCAGGTAGCTCCTGTTAATGTCTTGTTGGAATTTGCTGTGAGGCATCCACCTTTTGGCATCTACTTAGACCTACTGCATGCTCTGGACAGACCACAATGTTACAAAATGCTAGTTTCTTCAAAAGATTTGGGCTTTTTGTTCCCCAAATGACTTTTGGCATTATCTACTGGATTCTCTACACTATCAAGGCAAGGTATCACTGTAAAACAAAACCAGAAGCACTCCCAACCTCCTCGATGCTTCTGGAAGTCAAACCAATGTCACAGCCTCTTATTTGCTGCAGATCTCAGACCTCTAAACAGATTATTATATTTTTAGGCCATAAATGCCCTTTGTAGTCTGAAATCTGACTCAGCCCAGAGCAGACACCATGCTGATGCGCACTGTATGAGCCCAACAGCCAGAAGCAAAACAGTGACAGCTCTTTCATGAGGACACACACACAGAAATACTGCAAAATGCTACAGTGCAAACACAAATCAAACAGCAGCAACAAAAAAGCTTATAGGATGAGTGATCAACAGCCCAAGACACATGAATTTCCTAGAGAAAATCCCCCCAGTTTCAGGCTACGATAGGTAAAAATGAGCCGAGGAGCTGCTGCCTATAGGAGGGTGTGTGAGATGGCTTTAGAAAGGGCCAGGTACTTCCAAGCTATTAGCAATATCTCTTAATTTGGAGCTGGACACAAAAAAGGCGCATAGACAGTTCCTGGGACTGCTAGAAATGAGGCCGAGTTGGAAGGATGCGAGTAGACATGGAAATGCATCAGGCAAATGAAGAATAGTGATGAAGGGAAGATGCCAGGACAGGTCTGTTGTCAGCAGCCATTCCCTCAGCCTTCCCTTTCACACTGGTGCAGCAGGGTCACTGCAGCCAGCGCTGCAGCGTGCAGCTCAGCAGCAGTAAGTGTCTGGCCTGTGAAAGCAAAACCTTTGCCTATGACAAAGGCTGCTGGCAGCTCAGGGACAAAACTCTCACAACAACAAGCTCCATCAGCTCCACAATCAACAGCACAGCCCGAGCAGGTTAACAGCAAGACCTTGAGAAGAGCCAGGCGCAACAGAGCGGGAGACCCTTTGTTTTCAATAACATCCCTTTGAAATATTGCTATTTTCTGTGCTGTACACAACAACACGGGGCAGAGCCCATCAGCAGCACAGGCTTCACTTAGCTGTGTTCATCCCTGCTTTCAGGCCTCTCTCTCTTAGCTTGGCACCTGGGTTCTGCCTGTACCACAACAGAGAGGCTTGCAAACACCAGGCCTGGGAAATCTTTGCATGGGAAAAATCCCACTGCCCACAACAGCTGCAAATGCTCTGCCAGTTCACATTTCCTCTGAATATCCTCAGATCTCTTCCCTAGCCACGTGCTCACAGAGCAGCAAGTGTATGGCAGGGCAGGGGAATTCAGCATCGACAGCTGCCAGCTCTAACTCTGCCAGATCCCTTAGCCTCCCAGAGCAAAATCCTGCCACCTTATGAGGATTGCAATCCTTAGCTCCTGTCCCTGGCAGCAAAGCTCTACACAGAAACTCATAGCTGGGGGAAAAAACAGGGACGCATCAGTAAGGTCCTGAGAGACAGTCCCTACAGAGCCAGCAATGCAGCATCTCTCAAGACAGGGAGGACAGGGTTACAAATGCACCTGCAGGTTTGGAAAGGCCTGTACCATTTCCCAGGCCAAACAGGCTTGGCTCTTGCACATCCCACCTCATCCACCTATTCCCCCATCTTATCTGTGAGCTGGGGAGCAAGCGAGCAGTGTTACACGTTCTCTCACACGCTCCTCCCAAGCTCACGGAGCAGCCACAAGCATCCGCAGGCCCCGCCGAGAAGAAAGCAGAAAAGCAGTCTCACTCTCATCTGGGTTGGGCGAAGCAAGAATGGCACTATGCTTCCTCTTCACTTCCTCCACGTTCTCCGAAATTTTGTCAATGAAGCCTCGGATTTCTTCCACCTATGGAGACAAGAGAGACATCCTTAGAGTGCCTGGAGTTTTGGAAAGGGGAGGAATTACTACATCCTATGCAAAAGCAGCCATGACACGTCTGCACCACAGCAGACTTCCCCTTGGGGAGCTTCAGTGGATCTTTTCCAGTTGGATTCTCAAACTGTAGGTCTGATGTGAAAACAGATCTTCCACATTACAGCAGCCAGCTTTGGAGCTGCAACAATATAAGATACACTCTCAGTGCTGTATGTGTTGTTGATATGCTGGGAAACATGCAGCGTTTATTGAAATGAGCATCAGATGTTTGAATCTCAGGCTGGGCATCTCAGACGGAGCAAACTGCTCGAGATGCACAAGCCAGGCTTGCTCCCAGCTCTGGCCCCCGCAGCTCCTGTCTGCAGGCTGAGAAACCCAGTCTGATCCTCGCACAAAGCAGGGAGGCCAAGGGAGAAGCTGCCTCTCGGTGCTGGCACCTTCCCCACGCTTCTGCAGCGCAAGGAAACATATGGGCATTGCTGAGAAAGGGAGCCCATACCTGTGCTCTGTGCCTACTAGGCTGCACATTCTCTACCTTTATCTTTTCCTTGGATTCAGACCACCACTTTGCTCATCTTCATCCATCTGCATGTCAGATTTTTCATTCTGCACTCCAAAGCCTGTACAGATACATTTTAACACCCCCTACACACATGCCATGTTAAGGGTATGTGAAAACTCTGCATGCATATCTTACAGCCACCCACATGCCAGAAGACAACCTCTCGTTTGTTAACAAGAGGCATGAAATCAAATCAAACCCATGAAGAAACTGCTACTCTGCAGAGGTGCTTTCAGGGGAGTTTTCAGAGCCAGAGTGCTTTAATAGCTGTTTGGAAGCATCGCACCACAACAAGGCAGCCTCATATTCTGCAGCCTGGTTCCACAGGCTCACGTGCTCCCACTTGCTGTCACTTGGAGCAGTTGGCCCTTCAGTTTCTGCAAGGGCAGGTGGAGAAGGAACGTGCCCTTTGGGCCAGGCAAGCACATAACAGCCTCGGCTCTTTGGAGAAGGCTGGTTCCCACTAATCCCTTTCTGAGTGTAATCTCAGAGAAGCCTCAGAGGTTTTAATCTGGCTTGAAAGTCATATGGAAGAAACAAAACTCTCACCTGCTCAAAGAACTCATCCATGAAGCGATCCCGGTCCACGCTAACAGTGACTTCATCATCGTCATCACTGTCCTTCGCCTGCAAAGACATGGAGAAAAGCATCAGCAAGTGCTTCCTATAAACGCTGCCGATCCTTTCCACGCGCTTCTCAGGTGCATCTGCCCTTACTCCTTTGCTTGCACATTCCCAGGGATAAACCACAGCCACAGCTGCACAGAGTGCTACGAGGAGACAAAAAGATCCAACGAGATCCAGCTCCAGCAATAAAGGCACGATGAAAAACACCACTGCAACTAGCTGTAACACCACTTGGCCATCCTGTGCCAAGTGTAGAATGAGACTAATGATATTTACACATTTAAAGCGTGCTGGAAGGGAGAATTTTATGTGCTCACTGAGCTATCCTCAGCTGTGCGTGAGCACTACAGCTCAATAAACAGCAGTGATTAGAAAAACACCAGGGACGTTATGAAGTGGAGGAAAAGTGGAATAGAACAGAAAAAAACGGAAATACTATAACCACAGCAGGCAAATGAGGGGGGTGTCCTTGTCTAGAGCAGCATATGCATTATGTAGAGCAGCAATGAAAATACCTCCCGTCCCAGCAGAAGCAGCATGCGAGTTCACAGATGGCAGGAAAATTACGATCTCAGTGTCTTCCTTGCAAGGAGACACGGAAAAGAGACGTTCAAAAGGTATCACCAGAGCAGAGACTTGATGATAGGAAAAGGAAAATTAATGAGTCAGAAAAGATTCTTCTTCGCCTTCACTGAAGACAAGGATCCAGCATCAAGAGTCAAGTGAAAAACCTGACTGTGACCGAATAGACACAGCCAGAACAAGAGCGTTGCTGCCCAAACCCAGCGCCTGCTCCGAGGCCACACAGCAGCGGCAGGTCCCCAGAACACGGGATATGAAACCTTTCCCTTTGGCCTCCTCACCCAGCCGCAGGCTCACGGCTCAGGGCTGGGGGCACAGGGGAGCGCAGGAACTGCTCAGTGCACTTTGACTGTCACAGAACCACAGAGCAGCTGAGGTTGGCAGGGACCTCTGCAGATCCCCCACTCCAGCCCTGCTCCAGCAGGGCCACCTAGAGCCTGTGGCACAGGACTGTGTCCAGGCAGTCTGAATATCCCCAGAGGAGACTCCACAACCTCTCTGGGCCGCCTGCTCCAGTCCCCTGTCCCCCTCACAGCCAACAAGTTTCTCCTCAAATTCAGGCAGAGCTTCCCGTGTTTCAGCGTGCGGCCGTTGCCTCCGGCCCTGTCGCTGCCACCGCTGAGAAGGGCCCGTCCCGTCCTGTCCGCCCTCCCTCGCGGTGCTGCTGCCCCCACGAGCTCCCTCTGGGCCGGCTCCTCTCCAGCTGGGCCGGCCCCGCTCCCGCAGCCCCGCTCTGGGCTCTGCCGCAGCCCCGTGAACCCCCCGGCCTGGGGAGCCAGCGCGGGACACGGCCCCGCCGGGGCGGCCTCCGGGCAGGCAGGATCCCCTCCTCCTCCTGTTTGGAATGACAAGGCAGGCGAGGGAGCGCTACGCGCCCGTCTCTTGGGTAGGGAGCTGTGGAGGTAACTCAGTGACATGGCCACTTGAAGCAAGTGTGCACCGAAGGACAGGCAATTGCCAGAAGAAAGATTCCAGCAAGCCGTGATTCCAGCAAGCCCAGCAGCCAGCCCTCGCACCTCGGCTCTGCCGACGCAAAGGGAAGAAGGTCTCCGTTTCCTCCACGCCCCGACGGTCCCTCCTCACCAGGTCACCTCACCAGCTGCACAGCGGAGGATGAGCAACAACCGCAGCCCGTTCGCAGCTACCGCGGTCACCTCACGCATCGAAGAGGAAACCCCACACCACATTAAAGATGGAATCAGGCCTGGGATTTTCCAGGGGCCTGGGGAGCCAGTCCATGTTTTCAGGACTGGCTGAAAAGCTGAACCTGAGGATGTGCTTTCTCTTAAGGGACTACATTATTCACAGAATCACAGTGGTTGAAAAAGACCTTCAAGATCATCAAGGCCAACCATAAACCCACCATACCTGCTAAAACATGTCCCTAAGTCCCTCAACTCCACGTTTCCTGAACACTGCCGGGGATGGTGACTGCACCACTTCCCAGGGCAGCGTGTTCTTCGTAGTTCACCTCACCAGGCCTTCAAACAAGTCCTATGCTATCAACATAGTCACTGCTAGCAGTAAGCAAAAGGTTCATTGGGGTCTGTAGACTGTAACAGGGTCTTCAGTAACTGCAACACCTCAAGGTGCAAACCTCAGGTCAGCCCCAACCTCACCACTGAGCACCAAAACAGAAAGGAAAAAAAGAAAAATAAGAAAAAAGGAAAAAAAACTCATTTTCTCATTTTCCTTTTCTAGATGCCACTGATATTCTTCCAAGAACCTTTCCAGCTCTGGACAAGTCTTTCACCATATGGAGAGAGTCCAGCGCAGGGCTACAAGGACGATCAGGGACCTCGAACATCTGCCCTATGAGGAGAGGCGGAGGGAGCTGGGCCTGTTCAGCCTGGAGAAGAGAAGACTGAGAGGGGATCTGGTCAGTGTCTAGAAGTACCTCAAGGGAGGCGGTGAGGAGGATGGTGCTGGCCTCTTTTCACTGGTGGCCACCGACAGAACTAGAGGTAATGGCCACAAACTGAAGCATCACAAGTTCCACAGGAACTTAAGGAAAAATTTCTTGACAGTGAGGGTGACAGAGCACTGGAACAGGCTGCCCAGAGAGGTTGTGGAGTCTCCTTCTCTGGAGATCTTCAAACCCGCTTGGACGCAGTCCTGTGCCATGTGCTCCAGGTGACCCTGCGTGTGCAGGCGGGTTGGACTAGATGATCTCTAGAGGTCCCTTCCACCCTTAAGCATTCTATGATATCCCTCCTTTCCCCTGCATCAAGGAGAAGGGCTGTGACCATGGCCCAGGACCATTCCTAGACTCCAGGAGAAGCCCAGCCCAGTGTGACGGGCCCAGTATCCGCAGAGACCTGCGAGCAGGGACGGTGTCCCCCACACAGCACAGGGGCTCACCATGAAGGCAGCTGAAAGGCACCATTTCCTAAAACCAACAACATGCTTTGGATCCACTTGTGCCTTCTGGTTCACATTTTGCTGGAGGACTCGCTCAGCCAGTGCTATGCTTCATTTTCGGCATGAACTGTCTCCATTTAATTAAGATGAACTCCATTCCCAACACCCCTGATGTGTGGGGGGAATCCAGAGTCCTTTGGCGAGCCTGTCACGCAGGCAGTTAATATCCTGGATGCCTGCACATATGGAAGGACATTTCCTCAGAAAATCCACAGCTGAGTGCACACAAACGAGCGCATTCGCTGCCTGGCTTGCGCTAGTGGTATCCCAAATGGCACGAATTATCACAAGCTTCCATCTCGACTCCCCTCCAGGAGCTCTTAAAAATATAACGCAAACAGATCCCGGTTATACAAGCAGCAAGCGATAGAAAGCACATCCACAGCTGCCAGCTCACTTCTCCTCTGGCTCCACAGCTGCAGGCAGTGTTAGGAGAAAGCTCCCAGGCCACCTCCCTGTGCCGCAGTGCCCACAGGGCTACCCACTGGTTTTAGTCCCCTTGGAGAGATGGGATTTCAGGAGAGCAGCAGCTCTGTCCCCTCGGCTTGCCCTCAGGAGCTCCCTTGGTGCCGGGCCCCGAGTCCTTCCCAGGGCTCACCTGAAGACACTGGACATGGATGGTGACACGTTCCTGCATCCCCAGGGGACGCTCATCCAGAGTCTGGACAGCAATCAGGTGTGAGAGGAGCCTCCCACCTCCACCTGAGCAAACAGTCCTTGCTCCAGGCATGAGGACATCGGCCCGTTGCCATCACCAAGGGGCTCAAAGAGAGGCTTCCACCTCCAAGCCAGAAGCTCCGTCTCCTGCTGTCTCACTGCAGCCGATTAGGGGAATTTTGAACGTTTCTGCTCGCCCACCACTATTATTCGAGTTCATTTACACATCCAGATGCTGAATACAATTTGTAAAACCGCTTACGTAACTCGGAAAGTCAAACCTAGCCAGAGCCACCAGTGCGACCCAGAGGAAAAAAAAACTGCTTTAGTCTTCCTGAAAGTCACCACCAACACCCTCGCCGCATGCACGGACCTTCTGCATTACCTCGGTGCCATTTTTATGCTGTTGGAGAGTGCTTGTGTTCCGTTTCCCACTGGCAGGAGGCCGGCTGCTCTTCCAGGGTTACCTTCTGCAGCATCTGCTTCCTCTAGCAGCCCAAACCTGCTCCTTCCCTGTTGAGTCCCCCTGGCCCCACGAGACACGGTGCTTGCAGCACGGGCCAAGCCATGCGTGTCCAGCCAGCCCGTGGGCAGCGCGCGCCACGGCCGGGCTCTCCTGTGCCACCCAGCGCCCGGGATCTTCGCGCTGGGATGCGCCTGCCCGGAGCTTCACCCGGCAACGCGTGCGGCTGTGCAGAGGGCCAGGGCTGGAGCTCGGAGCGCCCCGAGGGGCTGCGCACGCAGCAGCTCTGCCGGGTGTGACACGTCCCACCCGCAGCCCCTTGTCACAGGCTGGGGGCTTCCCCGGCGAGCCAAGCTGCACGTGCAGGAGGCAGCGCTCAGCAACGCGGGACAGCGGCACCGAGAGCTCCTGCTTCAGCAGCGCTGGGGTTGCTGCAGACCCAGAGAAGCTCTCAGCCAGCCCCAGGGTCTGCTGCTAGCACGGAGCAGGCGGAGGGAGCCCGAGAGCAAACGGCAGAGCGCTCCTGCAGGCGTGCCACAGGGAACGGGGCGAGATGGCGGCACCATCTGGCTCAAGGACAACTAAAACATAGCGTAGAAAGAGGACAATAACGTGATTAACCAATGCAAGGCAATTTCCCTGGGAGTTACCGTGCCAGGACAAGAGCTGCAGTTAGTGGTTGCTACCTGCAGAGCAGTTTTGCACAGAAGCTCCCGGCTGCCCACGCTGTGTGGTTACGCTCGGCGCTGGTCACCCGAGTTGTACTAATCCAGCCTGAACAAGTTTCTTGTCTCTAGCCGTGACCAGTGTCCACCTGTCCAAAGGACGATGTCAAAGAGCAAGCAACAGCCCGAAGGGGAACGAAAATTCCCCTCCAGCATGAGCCTTCCAGAGTCTACCAACCCCTTTGCCTTCATTTGGGCAGCATCTCCCTTCACCAAAGTTTCTATCCTCTTTCTGAACACTGCAGGGCAAGCGGTCCGTTCCCACTGCTTCAGACGCAGGCTGTGAACGCAGTCACACAGGAGCAGAGCGTGGCAGCAGCAAATGCACTGGTCCGAGGCCCATCTCACGCAGATGCCCGTTTCCTCACCGCCTCTCGCCCCTCTTTTCTGCACACGAACGCTCCTTGCTCATCTTGCGCACAGGACGTCTCATCTCCGCTCGCCTCCGCTGCTCCCTGCTGCCCGCTGGACCCTTGCCACTTCTGCTGGGCTCAGAGCGCAGAGCAGCTCAAGAGCTGGCTCAAGGAGAGGGCTTCAAGCAAAGCCACACGTGGCCTCTCTAAAAGCCATTTCTATTTTAAAGCCAGCTCTTTCCCCAGCCACTAAAGAGAGCGGGCACAAAGGCGGAGGGATCGTGGTTGTTTAGGTCGGGCACTAACCACCCCGCTGCCCACACCAAAAGCGGCACAGAAGCGCCCCAGGGAGTCCTGCTAAGAGGAAATTACAAGGAGGGAGCCTCCCGGTCGGCAGGGCATGTGTCACTGCGCGGGGAAGGGCACCATCTGTCCCAGCGACGGCATCGGAAACACCCTCCAACACATCCGTGCGTCGGCGCCAAGCCGGGCCGAGCCCCTGCCGCGCTGCCTCGGCTCCCACTGCTCCAACGCGCGCGGCCGCGCGGCCGGACGGAGCCTCCCGCAACGTTCACAGGGTGAAGGAGGGCTCTGCTTCCCGGGCGGGAGGAGGAGAACTCGCCCCTGGCCAGGACCAACACCCCAAAGCTCCCCGGACACCCTGAAAGATCCTCTGCTCCCAGCATTTACCCTCTTGAGGAACCAGGAATACCTTGCTCCTAAAGACCTACTTGTCCACACAGAACAACAGGGCTTTGGTTTCACACGCCCAACCGCCCCAACCAGGCTGCTGGCTCGGGCACCCCAGGCTGGCAAAGTCACAGCCAGGGCGATTCAAAGCTGAGAAGAGATCTGGCCCAGGGCAGCTCCCTGCTGGCTTGGCTCAACACAGGTAAAAACATTCCAAGTCACAAAAAGCCAAGTCCTGACTCCCAATGCCCAGAGTTCAGCCGGGCGCTCCACGCACCCCATGCGCTTCTCAGCGGTCCTTAAGGAGCCTGAACCTTGCTTCAGGAGCACCCTCCATCCTGCTGGGCAGCCACCGAACGCCTCCGTTCATGAGCAACATCACGTTAGCAAAGGTTATATTGCATCTGAGGAACGTTGATGTTTTTGAGTGTCTCTAACTCTGCTGAGACGGACTAAGGGGTATCACAGAGCCCCTCCAATTTGCCGGCTTTCCTGACAGAGGGAGGGAATTGGGTTACGTTTGCATCCATCTCTTCTCCCAGGCTAACGCGTCTCCGAGGATTGGTCAACACTGCGGGCAGCCCACAGCTACTCTCCATTCTGCGGTGGTTTAGGGGGAGAGAGAAAAAGGAGCCACAACGAAGCATCAGCATCGTAATTCTGAGTGCCTTAGGTGAGAGTAGCTCTGAAATCAGATTATAGCAAGGATGAGCCCGAGTTAATTAACACAATTAGCCAGGAAGCAGCCGGCACCTTGTGCCACAACTCCTGTGCCCTGCGGTCTGTGCGTGACAAGGCCCCTGGTATTGCCCCCTTTTTGCATTCAGGTATCAATTAGCAGCGCTCGTTAGTCGCTGTGTTGACTGAGCCCCTGAAGCACGTCCTCCTGCCGGGGATCTCCAAGCAGATCAGAAAAGTAGGAAGGACTGGAGTACCTTCCTCACCTGAAACAAGGGACAGATGGGGAAAGTCTCCTCTCTGACAGCGGTTTGGCTTTGTGGAGTCAGCCTTGAACAGCAAACCCGCGAGCAGAGCCAGGGCAGGGAGGCTCCTGAAACGCAGGAACTCTCCATCCCCTCAAGCAGAGCCAGCGCTGAGGAGGGCAGTAAACTGGGACAGAAAGGACAAGCTTCTCCGGGGCCTTCTGAAGCGGCGCCGGTTTGGACAGCCCCGCTGCGAGCGGAGGCTCCGCCAGAACCGCGTGCGGGACAGCAGTCTGGAGAGCCCTGGGCATCCCGGCTCCGTGGGGTTTCTAAAAAGCACACTGCTAATAAATTCATTAGCTGGCAGATCATATCCGTCCGGTTCAAACAAACCCTTGTTCCTTCAGCAGGCATTTTCTTAAGGGCAGCAGAGAAGCACAAAGCCAAGAGACGGGAAAACCGCGCTCTGTTCCGAAAACCCACAGGCCCAGGGCGGCAGCCGGGAGCTCCGCAGCGGGACACTCACGAGGTCTCTGTTATTTAGCACCAGGCGTTATCCCCCACGCTGTTTTGGAGGTGAATTGAGCCATCCTGGATGCACCCGTGGACCGGCGCAGCAGAGCCTTGCTGGGTGCAGAGGGGAGACGCGCGCAGAGGATGCTGCCCCAGCAGGACGGCATCAAGACACCAAGGCCCAGACTGTCCTTCCCACAGGCCTTATAAGGGACACGTGGGACAGTTCAAGCTCAGTCTTTCTTAGGAAAGACCCAGGCTAACCCCAGCTTCGTGCAGGCTCCATTGGCAGCCACAAACCAGACGCCAAAGGGCCGTCCCCAAACTGGGCTCCTCGCTCCTAGCAGAAGGGCAGCCTCCCTGCAGCCCTCGTGCCACTCATGGGGCTGGGACAGCGACTGCCTTTCCCTGCTTTCCCAAACGTGGTAACACAAGCTCTGCAAAAGCTCAAAGGACAAGACCAAAAAAAGAAAAAAAAAAAAAAAAGCCACAACAGCGGCAACCCCCTTCTAAGGGCCCTTAACTTAATTAGAAACAAGCCCTAACAGATGCAGTCCACTACTCTCCATCCTCGTTTCCCGGGTGAATCCTTTCCCTTCAGCGGATCCTGCCCCAGGCTGAGAAATTTCAGCCATGTGGGGCTCGACTTTCCTTGTCAAGCGACTGCATTTTACATAGCAAAACCCAAAGCATCCCGTGGGATGCGAACCCTGCGAGCCGCTTCTGCCTCTGCTTGGAAAGCCAATTCCTGCCCGTGAGGGGAGCGGGCTGCAGCCCAACCCCACGTTCACGCAGAGGGGGAGCAGCCCGCGGCGAGGGCGAAATCGGGTCGCTCCTTTTCCTTACTGAGTCCAAGAGCCCGGAATATTCCAAGCGCCAGCAGAGAGCTCGTGCCGGCCCTCGATCCGCACGGAGGAGCCCAGCAACGCACGCGCTCCGAGTGCCGGGCTGAGAAGACGGGTGAGGGCGGAATAATTCTGCAGGGAGCTGTGAGGAAACCCTCTGCTTGGCCACCTTAAAACCTTCTGAGTCACACAGTAAGGATCACGGATGCCAAGTTCCCTGCAAACACCCTGGTCTAACGGCGCGCGAAGCTCTGCTGCGCCCAGCACAGCTCTGCAAACAGGTCTCCAACCCATTGAAAACCCACCACGGCCTGGGATGGGGATTTCCCGTTCAGCCCAGGGCTATGGTTAGAGCTTGGCAGCAGCCTAAGCTCCCCCGTGCTCCAACTCCACGTGTACAAAGCCAGAAGTCCGGCTTAGGGCCCTTTTCAAGGCGGCGACGTCAAGGCTAAGAACAAGAAGGGCCTCTGGAAGCTCTGCCCCATGCGAGAGCGGCTCAGCAGAGCTGAGCAACAACCTCAACAACCCAGATATCTTACAGTCCTCACTGGCTGTAATTTAGTTGTATTCAATTCCATTATTTGCCCAAATCAGCCCACATTTCAGACTTTTTGATGAATAAAGCTCAAGCCAAAAGATAGACTTGCACATTCATCAGTAGCTACATGAGTCGGGAAGCGTTTCAAATTTCCAGCTCGAGCAGCACAAGGGATAACGAGGTTTCCAAGAGAGTTTTGTCCTTAGGTGTTCACTTTCATTACTGCAGAATTACGTTACCAACCTTTGGCACGAAGCCCAGGCAGTTTAGCCGAGCACTGGTGAGCTCCTAAACTCACTTCCAGGGGCAGGAATGTTGCACTGCATTTAACTCCCAGGAGCAAGCGTGAGGGTGACAGAGGTGGCAGCAGTCACACACAGGACATTGCCTGGGCTCACGCGCTCCTCTCATTCCAGAAAGGATCCACCAGAAAGGCAACGATGCGACAGTGAGTACTTCGCACCCTTGCAATTCTGGCTAAAGAGCAATTTAAATGAAAAACAGCACACGGACTTAATTCATCTGAAATTCATTTCTTGACGTTCTTCTACCCTGGGGAAGGTTTTATTGCGTGTGGCTCTATTAAGCTACAGGGGACAGATTTACTAAGAGTCCACGTTCTGCAGCAATGACTTCTTGACCCTACGTTCATAATGCCACTGTCCCCCCCACAAAAAAAAAATAGAAAAACAACTCCCCAAAGATACGCAGGAGAGAGACTCAATCATGGTAGGAACATTTTAGATACCCAGAATAGACTGGACTCGGGTAGGAGTATAAGGAATTCAGTGAACTATGAGATGTTACTTATCTCCACAGACCTTCGTTTTGCCCGAGGCTCTTC